GGTTACCTTCAGGTAATTTGGAGATGCGAGGCTTGTCTTGTCTCTTGGATGTTGCCTGTCAAATTTTTGTGAGGCTCTCATGGCCCAGCTTACAACTTCATGCTTGCACAACCCAGTCATGGGGGCAAAGGGCAGCCATGGGGCTGGCCCTGGGTGCAGGAGGTGCAGAGATGGCCCTGCTTGGCGGGAACTGAGCAAGCAAGGGCATCCCTAACCTAAACCTTATAGGAATAAGGTTTTGAACTGCTGAAACTTGATTTCAGTGGAAACATGCATTTTTGTGGGCTACTTTGGTATTGTCTTGTAAGAAAGGCCAAAACTCCAAGAAATTTAGTGTTGGATGTCACTTGCTTGTTTCTCCTTATTACAAATAAGTTCCCTTTTCTACAATAGGGAATGCTAAAGTATTGTCTCCATGCCTGGCTGCCCTGAGGTAACAGGAACAAGCCTGAGATAGCAGATAACAGATGTCCAAATCAAACTCACTTGAAACCCTCAGAGAGATGTTGGTCTGTCATTAGAGCAATGCTAGACTGTGGCCAGTGGGGACCTGAATGTTAATTTTCCCCTCCCAGTGGTCTGTATTATTTTAAAATTTCCTCTAGCAAGCATTCCATTAATGTGATTTCCTCACACTACATTTAGCTGAGAAAGTTCCATTTCCTTTATTAAAAAATAATTTTTCAAATAAACTTATTCCAGCAGATTTTTGTTCTGAAGATGAGGATCTGAATAATGCTGGAGGAAAAAAATTGCTTCTTTTTCTTTTTCTTTTTCTTTTTCTTTTTCTTTTTCTTTTTCTTTTTCTTTTTCTTTTTCTTTTTCTTTTTCTTTTTCTTTTTCTTTTTCTTTTTCTTTTTCTTTTTCTCTACAGAGTGCTGATGGCCAGGACTCATAAGGAACCAAGTGGTCTGACATGGAGCAGCTCCCCACACATCCAATTTGACAAACCAAGAGGAGGCACAGCATTTTAAGGCCAGCTTATCTGGCCTATGGCAGATTCTCAGACACAGTAAAAAACTGCAGCCTCATAAACTTCACTGGAGATGGGTCTGCTTACAGCAGGTGGCACAGTGTGAAATGCAGTTGTCTGTCTAGGGAAGGAGGTGTGAAATGTCAAAGAGGCAGGTCCTGACAAACAACTTACATTTAACAGCAAAAGAGAAGTGGAACAAAGTCTCCATTACTTTTTCAATGCAATTAACTGCTCTTCTACTAATGCCACAAATCTGTTGCTCTGTGTCCTCCTACAAGCAGTAGATATGTTCTCACACAGATCACAATTTACAGTGTGCTAATAGTTTCTGAGGGCTCTTCTCAGGAAAGTCTTACAGTATTCCATGCATTCACAGGTTACAACAAAATTAGGGCAAGGATCCCGAAATACTCCTCCCAGATGTTAAAAAGTCAAAGTGCCTCTGACATTGGGAACAAAAGAGCTCATGGCCTATTTCCTGGGAAGCCTGAAACGCCTACTGAACAGAGCATCAGAGAGGTCTGATGGGATTTTGGTCATGACTGTACCAAGCTCTGGTCTGAGGTGATAAAGCTGAGGGCATGTCGTAGGGGCAGCAATCCGTGCCAGTGACTGCCAGCTGCTTGCCTGGTAGATGACAGTGTCATCTTGGCAACAAACCTTTTCTTTCTTTCTGAACACTCTGACTCAGATGAGCTCATTTTTGCAGCTTTTTTCTTTTTAGGGGGATGCCATTCTCTATGTCTTCTGCCACATAGCAAATGTCATACCACTGATTGAAAAACAAACCCTCCAGACCTTTGTAACTGTTACCTTCGTAATTTCTGGCTACCTTTTATTTTCTGAAGGCTGAGACTGTCCTGAGTGATGTGGGAGGGGAAGGGAAGTTGGGAGCATTTATGGCATGCTGCAGCTAGCAGACCCACAGCTGTGCACCGCACTCTATCTCACCTTCTGTGGATCAGCCTACGAAGAACCACTCTATTTGCAGCATTGCAAGGAATCAGTTTCTAGGTCTCCAACATTGTTTTATTAATGAAAACCAAAAAGTTCAAAACTGTGCCAATTAGGAAATCTTAACAGGCTTTGCCTTATTCTTCAGATCTGTGGTAGGTCATGTATGGAAGAATATTGTTTCATGCAATTACAAATTAATGAGGAGTATGTTACTAGTGACAATGGATGCTTTGTAGCTTATGGTTAATGATGAGTACTTTGAAAAGAAGACTTTGTGCTCTCAGGGTAATTTATGTTAGAACAGGAGCGTCTATAAACTGCAGGTGTCTCATTAAATTCTGCTGGTGATTGGAAGAAGCAGCCATGTGCAGAGATGTTCATCAGGGGCTCCATGATTTGTGTTGTCATGCCTGTTTTTTTTCCTGATAGCTACACACTACTTAGCATTGTTGCTCAGCTGCTATGAGCAGAACTCTGCAAAAATAGCAGGTTTCCATTCAGAAGTGAATGGCACTGGGCCAACTATTGATTTATGGACTGACATATACCCCTGTATGATGACTGCAAGAACGCTTGGTAAGTACCTGCTACCTTTCTTCTGGAGTACATTAAAAATAGTTTTCCACTTGATAAACGGAGTCATATAGCATGATATTTTTACTGGTCATTTTCATGGAGTGAGCTGCAAAGTGTGGCTTTATACAATGACACTGTAGAGAGGGAGGCTGAGAAAGTTTGTCTGTATTCCCAGTTCTGATTAAATAGTTTGGCCTGAAGGCAAGATGGATATGTGCCCGTTTCTTCCCACCCCTGATCTGAGATTGAAACTTGGTATAATGCTTAAATATATATATATATCTGCCTTTAAAAATGATTATTTGGGAGATAAAGTTATAACATTCAAACTTTTAACAGTAGTGATACATTATTTAGATTCCTCCTTTGTCTTATTCATCTCAACAGCTGTATGACATTTATTTTATAATATCCACAGAGTTTCTTTCATAATTCGCTGCTAGTTACATCTTTTAAAAGGCAAATATCTTTTAAAATCTTTGCACCTCCATTGTTTGTGTGGTCCCTTTTTTCCCCTTTATCTTCCAGTTCAATCTAGAATAGACAAGGAGTGGTGGGACTCTCTCAGTGGTGAGGTTCTCTTTGGGAGGATGTATTTAAGTGACACCAAAGGGCACCAAACTCCTAGGCTTGATTCTGATTTTTTTTAAAAATTTTTATTTTTTGGTATGCTGAGGTCTTGCAGTGAATGTGGATTATATTGACACCCACTTCTGATCCTGTAGGTCTTTTATAGAGCAGTGAAAAGGGATCTAAATGTGAGAATGAATTCAAGCATTGCATTTTACTCCTGTCTTGCACAGCACCTATCACAACAAAGCCTTTATCCACTCAGCTCAAAAGAAACAAGAAAATATTTTTAAAAATTGTTTATTGTCTTAGAAGTTCAGATGGAGAACTTATTACATGGAGACCAAATATGTGCTTCTGGCTCCCCCCATGTAAACCACATCCGCAGATGCAAGAAACATTTAGGGTTTTTTTGAGTAATAGTAGTTAAGAAAGGCCATTGTGTTTTTTCTGATTTTAAACTGTATGATCAACATTGTAGAAAAGGGTGTATGCAGGCACTGGGACATGGAGATGACCCAATCCAATCTCTCACTCAAATAGGCCCATTTAGAGCAGAATTCCTGGGGTCTTGTCCTTTTGCATTTGAGTATCTCCAAAGACAGGGAACCCATGACTTCTTCTTTGGGACCCTGTTCCAGTACTTGAACTTCTTCAAAATATTTTTCTTCATGTTAGGCTGGAATTTCCCATGTTCTGCATTGTGTTGTTGCCTTTTTTCGCTCACCACATGCTTCAGAGAAGAGTCTGGCTCCATTTCCTGCATGTTCCATTTAACTGCAGACTGAAGTCACCTCTGAAGGCTAAAGAAGCCCAATTCTCTCATAAAAATATTCTCCATTCTTAAGCAAGAGCAAAGCTGGATTTGTTTTGTACAACTTTCTTCTGATGAAAAGATGTTTTTATCTTCTTTTAATAGCCCTTCATAGTTCCAGAAATGTCCACAGATGCATACAAATACCAATTAAAAACCTATGCCTATGGATTCAGCATTGCTCCAACTCTGCTCTGCACTCCAGCATAAGTGCTGCTTGAGAACACGTCCTCAGGGAAGCCAGCTTAAGTATTTAGTGCTGTGGAACTGCACAGTTCAGCTACCAGATGCCCAGGCAGGTGTAGGGAACCTTTTTTGGAAGGGGGGTTGGACTCAGTGATCTCTGGAGGTCCCTTCCAACCCCTACAATTCTGTGATTCTGTGATTCTGTGTGTGTGCCTGGAATGAAATCCTTCTTCCATCCAGAGTCAGCATCTTATCTGGCCAACAGCTTTGCAAGGTCCTGGACTTCAAATGAGACAGTGCTATGGTGCTTTGCTGCCTGAAATACGAAAGGAGGGAGCCCAATAAATCCTTTCACTTCCTTCACACTTTCCAGAGAAAAAAATGTCTTATTTCATAGAGAGTATTCAGACAACTCTTATCTGTTTCCTACATTGAAAAGCAGATGGTATTAAATTTACTTTTACAAACTTCCCGCAGTAGGCTATACTGGGACAGCAGGCCTTTTTCAACAACATCTATATCAGACTTCCAAAATCCCAGAGCTATGGGAACAGGGTGAAATCAACCTATATTTGGAATTAATATTTGTTTTATTTCACTGCCCTTCTGGACATGAATATGGTGTTGCCCTGAGATGTCAGCTTCAGCCAGGCAATCTGCATTGGAGGAGCATCAGTGAATGATGGCAATAGCATGAGCCAAGTGCCCCACCACAGTGCCAGGGCTTGGATAGGGCCTGCAGCCAGGAGGGGCCCTTTCAGCCTCTGCTCTGCCTTCTTTCATGGGTCTACAAGAATGCCAGTTGGTGAAAGTTATGAAAGAAACTGTCATCATAGAATCATAGAATCATGGAGTATCCTGAGTTGGAAGGGACTGACAAGGATCATCCACTCCAACTCCCAGTGGATACACCTCAGGACTCACAATTTCTTGCCTGTCAGCACTATCCAGACCTTCTTTTCACTTTGAGTCAAAGACTCAAATACTTTGTGTTCTTCATTTTACCTCTTCTACGCTCAAAGTTTTTTTAAGATTTATTAGTGCCTTGGGGTGACTCTGGGCAATGATACCAAGAAAGCCTTGAGGGGAGCCAGCCTGACAGAAGGAGCTGTACTGCACATCCCAAACACCAGCGCACAGCTTTCCTCTAACTTTATAGATCACCAAGCCAAGGACCACGCTCTTACCAAGTGGGTGACAAAATGACAGGGCACTCAACTTCCATAGCTCTACCTGTCAGTGAGTGTCATAAGAGGAGGAGATGGGCGATCTGCTGTCCTGAACTATCAGGAGTGCCTCATCTACCTGCTCATCTCTCCAGGTAGCGAAGAGAAGAAGCAGGAGCTATGTCCTGTTGTTCCCTGCCTCTTCCTAAAGCTGGGAGGAAGCAGCTGCAGTATGGGTGGATCTGCAGCCCTGTTGCCAACATACCAGCTGCCAATGCTGAGCCAGTGTGCTTGACAGTGACTGTGATGGATGTTGCTGATGTACTCAGAGAGCACCTTTGGACTGATTCTGAGTCAGTGCAGCTGAGCTTGGGCTACAGTGAAATCTGTGTTCTCACATACATTAAATGAATATATAGCTCACATTACTCCCCCCTCTGCCTACTTAAAATGCCAGGAGCTTCTGCTGTCTCGCTGACATGAATCAAGAGTGAACACCAAAATGTCAATGATTCAGGCTGTTGTAAATTGTGATCCAGCTGGAGCCCTAAAGTATGCCTGATATCATATGTGAATTAATCTAAGTACATATACAAGGGAAAACAAACACAAAAAGAACGAGGCAGATCCCTGCTACTTAGCAGATTCCTACTGCAGACATTTCAGTGGTACTCATCACTTTGTTGGCTGAGTCTTGGCTTCACTTCTTTGGTTTAGAGAGATATCTACTGAAATGGCAGTTATGCAGTATATACTTGCATTAACTAATGCTTCTTCAGCAATATTGCTTTGGCTGATACACTACTGTTCATCTGACATTTTCTAAGAGCTGGAGATGTGAGTTTGATCCATCAAATTTAACTCTTCAATCACATAAGAAACCTTAGTGAAATCAATGGGTAAAGATGGAATTTGATTAAGCATTCCATTAAGTCTTCATTATTCCTGCGCAGTGTGTGATGTTCATTCATATTACTAATTCATCTTGCATTTGCCCAATTTGTACAGAATATAGTAGCAAAAATAAAAATACTGTGTACTTGGACCTGATCCTCATGGGTCTTTTCCAACGTAGGATATCCTACAATTCCATTATTCAGTGAACATTTACATAAACTTACAGTTCATCAAGCAGATGCATGAACATTCATGTGCACACCTGCTGTGTTTATTCCACAAACAGTTTAATAGGATGACTAAAGGAAAGCCTCTGGATGTATGTTTGTAAGGGTTATTTTTTCTTCTTCTATGCTCCAGACTGGAGCTATAGTCTTAATCCATGTGAAAGCATATCTGAACCTGAGTTTGGCATTTATTTGTAATCTAGAATCAGATACTATTTGTATAAGTACATTTGCTCAGTCTGAAGAGAAAGCTCCAGGGGAGACCTTTCAGTATCTAAAGAAGGGGCTGTAAGATAGAAGGGAACAGACTCTTTGGCAGGGTCTGTGGTGATAGGACAAGGGGAAATAGTTTCAAACTGAAAGAGGGGAGAATTTAGACTGAATATAAGGAAGAAATTTCACAGTAAGGGTAGTGAAGCACTGGTACGGGTTGCCCAGAGAGGTGGTGGGTGCCCCATCCCTGGAGACACTAGAAGACAGGCTGGATGGGGCTCTGAGCAACCAGATGTAGCTGTAGGTGTCCCTGTTCACTGCAGTTGGAGTCAGACTGGGTGATCGTTAAGTGTACCTTCCAGCTCAAATGAAACTATGATTCTATGATAAAGCTAGATTTTGAATACTGGAGTAATGACATGGCTACTTACTCACCTGCTATATATTCGGTTGTATGGGAACTGCTGAATCATGGCCTGAACCTCTGATTGAGCACCTGAGACGAGCCATGAGTCAGCCCTGGGAGCACAGGTGAAGGCAATTCTTCTGGAGATCCCTCTTTTGGAGCTTTACAGCAAGCCAAGCAGAAGGGTGAGCATTCTATCTACTCTATTTTTGGTATAATAACCTGCTTAGCCAAGCTCTCGTTTATTTCATGATTATGACATCTGTATATTCATTGACTACATATCAGTCTATCAATCAGGCCTTTATTTCATGTAATTTAGCCACTGACAACTATCATCTGTAAGATTAGAATGGTGCTTAGTAATCCTTGTACTGGAGGAAACTTTAACTCTTGGAAACTATTTTTTCACTTATAAACTTTCTTGGTATAGAGGACAAAATCTATTTCCTCAGAATAGTGATAAGGCCTGAAATGTCTCACAGAGAATTGGAGAAAAAGTAATTTGAATGTATTTAAAATTTGGAGTAGGAAATATGTTCTGCTTTATTCTTTTCAATGGAAAAGAAGAAGAGCACTTTGAATTCCACAAATGCAAACATTAATTTGGGATACTGGTTGAAGCATCTACTTTCTTTAGGTACTAACACTAAACCTCTTATTTTAAAGAAAAAAAAAAAAAAAAAAGTGATCTTGTTCTTTCCTATAACTTCTCATGTCATACTTTTAAGAGAGTGAATCCATTCTGAACTCAATAGAGTCTGGTCTCTTCCTTCTGTAGTATAAATCCTGGAGAGATTATAACTAATTTAAGTAGAATCTCATGGTGGTTTTTTTTTTCTACCTACCTGCAAACTGCTAAGGAATCAGCAAGGGAAAAATAAGTGCTATTCACGGTAGTTTCCAGCTTGGATTACATGTATCTTGAAAGCACTAGCAGCAGATGCTTGTGGACGTGTCTTTGAATTCAGTCATATGTATGTCCTCCTGGCTGTCATCACCACTTATGTGTGTTTCTAGTATAGGAAGAAAACACTGGCAGTTTACAGAGGGAGGGGGGGAAAAAAAAAAGTAATCCCAGAGTTTTCAAGGAGCTCAGCAATTACTGCTGCTTAGGGGGCCTGGCTGGCAGGCTATTTGTTTATCAAATTTGAAAGAGCCCCATAAGATTATGGATCGTAACCTTCCTGGGGACTTAATCATTTTGTCACTTATAAACATGTAACACTTTTATTGAGAAAAGCACTCCTACAGGTGGATTTCATCTTTCATCTGTTCTGGGCTTCTGAGAGCATTTGCCAGGATTGCTAAGCTGATTGCACAACTCCACTGGTAGTGATTATGGTTTTTCTTACAGTTGCTTGTCCAGGTATGGAAACTGATACTAGAAGCATCAGATTTTGATGTCACAGTCTTGTACTCATTACAAGCTGAAATTCATCACCTTCCAACCCAACTGCATACCACAGTGTGATCTGCCAAAAGGTAGGTAGCATGGTCTGTGGCTTCAATTCTTAAAATTACAAAAGAAATTAAAAGAGCATTTTGTGTCCACACTTTTTCACCACAGAAAAAATACATATCAGTGCAGAGTCCCTAACTACTTCTACATCCTGATCCCATTTTTTACCACTTGGAAGCATTTTGTTCAGTTCATGTTTCTAGTTGAAAGGAAATAAAGCCTTCTCTCCTTCTTCCCCTGTCCTGAACAAGTGGTTTAGCACCTACTGCTGCCTTAAGCAATACATCTGAATGCTTTTAGTGAAAGGGGTCCAGCAGACTCCCACTAGGGTTTAGGGAGGCTCTGTGTAGGAAAAACTGTGGCTACAGTAATGACCTGCTGTTCTGGGTTCGTCACCATTATGTCAACCCCAGAAGCACAGAGGAGAACAGGAAAATCCTTTGGGTCATGTTTTGCTTTGTTTCATATCACCGTAGTGCGTGACTATGGCTTGCAGATTCTTTTTGAAAAGGATGCTATACCAGAAGGACAAAAATCTGCATTGAGGAAGAAGTTTTGCATGAAAATGTTGAGGAAAAGGGCCAAAATTATTTTTCCTAAAGATTATGAAATAAGCTTCAACTGAATTAGCTCTTGTAAACTGTGGGAACAGATAAGTGTATTTAAATTATTGCAGAGTTGAAACACCTGCTGTTAACCAGGATGCAAAGAAGGAATAAACAATGACTTAACATCATTCCTCTTTCACAGAGAGACATAAATATTGGTAGAAAATTGCTGAGTAAGGCATGAGTACAGCAAGAGGTAGAAACAAATCAAGAGGTAGTGCCACTTTTATAGGGAGAAAAGGATTCAGGAACAGGCTGACCAGGCACAGAGATGGGGCTGAGATCAACTTAAAGGGAACAGAATTGTTGGATTAAATGTCCGTTTCCAGTACAGTCAAATGCTATTAGTGAACCTATATAAAAGGAGTCATTTTTTGTCTGGAGGAGTAGCAGCTCTGGAGATACCTGAAACTGAGAAACCAAGCAGAAACCACCACAGCCCATATTAACATCATAACCAGAATGCAGAGATGGAAAGGGAAAACAGCCAGGGCCCAGCAGCAGGCAGGACATTCAGCAGCACCCACCTGACCCAGCCAAACCCTTGAGCCAGCTGGTTATGTTTTCACATCGGTGGTAAGGCAAAAGGAAAGCAGCTTTGTCAGAAAGGAGCACCTTCTGACCAATGGTTTACCGGCTTCGATTAACTTTGCAAGGTGCACAAGGTGCTGGACAATCAGACTCTTAGATTATCCCTGTCTGCATTCATTGCTGAAGTTGTACCAAAGCCAGCCAGAGGGGCTGTGTAAGTGAATCTCACTCTCACAACCCAGCCATGTACACATAATCCTACTGTGTTCTATTGAGGGGTTTCTGAAGGCACTGTTTGTGAGGACTGTTCTCAGTATCATGAAAGGAAGGAATGAAACTTAATGACCTGGGAAAGTGCATGGTGTGGGGGAAGGAGGTCCCTGTCAGCTAATGGTGCCTGAAACTAAGTCCCAAAGAGTTTGGAGAAAGCTGTCAAAGGCAGTTTCCCTTCCTAAATTCAGCTAAGGAGAAGGATCCTCTGAAAAAGTGACATTCCACCAGCATTTTGCTGCTACATTACATTTTACTATGGATTTTAGTTTTTTTTTTCACTTACCCTTGTGACTAAGAAATGTCTGTTCCCTTGTGAAGGAATTGCAAGAACACAAAGGTAATCTAGCAATAACAGAATCACTGTACCTAGGGATAAAGGCACCAGATCTGTGTTAAGGCAGGATCATTGATAAAACCACACTCGCATCATTCCTGATTAACGCTCACTCTGGCCTACAATTAAAAACTGCTAGTTATGAAGATTAAAAATTTCCCAAATGATCTGTTCCACAGGTCCACTGTTTCTTACTTTTAGAGAGTCTCTAATATCTTATTTATTACTTAAGCTCATTTCTTGGCATATCCACCAAGAAAATTTGGGCAGAACAGTTCACTCCTACTCTTCTTATCATCCTCTTTCTTTTTCTGAAGAGTTGCCGTGCCCTTCTTCAGTCCCTTCTTCCACAGACTTCCCCCAATTTACTCAAACTTACCTCATACTCCAAGTCTTCACAAAGTGAAATGTACTTTTTTCTGATTTCCTATTCATCTTCTCTCTACGTTAGATGCATCATGTGTTCCCAACCCTTTCACACCATTCTTTCCTTCAGTATTTTCTCCTCTATCATCTTCATTGTTTTGTGCTGGGCCTTGCTCTGGAATTTGTGTGCCTTGTTTTGTTCTGCTTTCCTGCTTTTGTAAAGGATGACCTTATGATACTGTCTCCCAGGCTAGAGGAGAAGCACAGACTGAACACAGCTCATTAAAATAGGATCTCTGGAGTCCTAGTTCTGGATGAGTAGCACACTGCCTTCAGAACAGCCCCAGGCAAGACAGCTGACCTTGTCCTCTCTATAGGCTTTTCAGTACTTGAATAATTTTTAAAATTACAGTTTATCAGAAGAAATAGTGGTGTTTGTTAGTTTTTAACTAATGCTAGTTTGAAAATTTGAGCTACTTTTGGGTAGGTGTCAAGGTCTACTAAGCAGGTCTCGTTGTTCTGGTCATGGGCCATCACTTTGGAAACATAAGTGCAAGGGACCACTACTGACCTGAAATAGAGAGGTTTGTGTAAAATTAGTGCTCTCACACTTCAGGAATGTGATAAGGCTGAGGGATATACAGATAAAAAAGATTAAGTGTTATGTGTCTCACATCCACAAAGCAGTTACTGTCAGTCTTAAGACTGAGGGACTGCTGTGAGCTGAGGGCCATCACGGGCTGTTGGTTTATTTTTGTTTGTGGGGTTTGTGAGGTCTTCATGGCACGAGCAACTCACAGATCTATTACCTAGTTCTGATACTGAATACATACAATTTTTTTCGGAACCTGTTTGTCAGATTCTCCAGCCCCTGCTATGAAGTTGGAAAGGGAAGGTTAATGATTTTAAAGAAATGTAGGAGCCTTCATTTCTGTAACTGTTTGCAATATCAGGAATTCTTCTGAAAATTTCCTTTTGTTTACTAAATATTAATTTTATAAGGAACCTCAATGTCTTGATATTGTTCAGTGCAAGGGACAGATTGTTGGCATTCCTGGGCAATTCTGCTATCTGGCGAAGTAGTGCTTCTTACCAAGTGCTCTGATGTTCAAGTGCCTGAGGACTTGCTCACAAAGGAAGAGTCAGTGTCACTTTCTTCACTGCAGAATATAAGTATCCACATTGGAACTAAAAGTGGGTACAGTTATTTTGCTCTAAATAATTTCACATAATTTTTCCACAGAAAGTTAGCTATGGCACAAGTAACAAAATACATCATTTGGAAACATCAGAATGGAGTGCTTTGTACAAAAGCAGCTCTCCATGTGACAATGTTTCCCTGTTTGAGCTTGGTTTTTTATACTGAAGACTCAGTCTTTACTTTTAAAATCCTTATTCTACAATGAGAGAAAAACAAACATCTTGCATGTATTTATCCACATCCGTCCCACCACCTTGTTAATGATTGATATTAGATTGATATTAGTTGTTCTGCACTTCCAGTTTTTGACTTCCAAGCACCATCTCATCCCTACAGAAATGCCTAATAGCTTGGAGTGTGCACTCAGGTGCTATCTGAGCAGGAATGCAAATGATGCGCTGAACATCGATGGAGAATACAGGAAAATAAAGAAGAAGGAAATCAGGTAATGTAAAACAATTTCATATTTCAAGAGATATTAACAGGACATGCCGCACCTGCAGTCATGAATTTCATTTGCATAGCTGGAAAACTATGTGCTATGAATGTAATACAGTGGGTAGGAGGGATGGAGGAGCGACAGAAAACACAGGCTGCCTCACATACAATATCTGTTAGCAGTGGTTGTGATGTGGCCTTTGCAGTTCTGCCTTCTGTATCTACTCCACCCTTTGCAGTTCTTGTTGGCTGACCCGAAGCAGATGGTATAATTCAGTGAGAGATTTCGGAGTTCTGTGGTGCACGGTAGCATCCACATGTCCCAGCTCTGCACACTCCTGCACAGCCTTCTGCAACTGTGGCTGCAGTGGGAAGGAAACCAATGGTCCTCTGAGAGTTGGAGAAAACCAGCGGCGGAATATTTTGTCACAAATGACCTGAGGAAAGAAAGAAGAGCAGATTGCTGTCTTGCAGGAGCTGTAACTAATGCCCTGTTGCTTCCCTGGGACTGTAGCCAAATGTCTCTATTCTTGTTTCAGCTGAACCCATAATGTGTCTAGCCATTCAAAGGGGAAGATAAAGAAAAGGAACTTGTATAGAGGCTATCCTCTAGCTGAGGCATCCCCTTGTGCATAAGAAATGGTGAGGGTAGGAAAGGGAGAAACAGGCAAAGCACAGCCAAGCTGTGCTCCCCCAGCCTCTGCGCTTGAATTAGTTTGTTGCAGCAGCACAAGCTGAGTGAATTACAAGACAGCTCATAGCAGGGCCACTCGCCCTATGGACCCCCCTCTCTCCACTTCATCTGCATAGACCATTTTGTAGAGCAGAGAATCACAGCCATAACCTTCCACTGCTTACAGTGGACTTCACTATTAGTGGAGACAATAATGACGAATTCCCCACTCTTCCTACTTCCTATCTGAGGAACTGGGCAAGCAGCAGCTATGTGGAAAGACAACAAATAAATGGTTTGCTTGCATGCCCCAGGATGTGATTTCTGAATGGGATTGGCACCTAATGTCTGTTTAAAAATGTGTCTACATGCAATGCACAGCATTCTAGTACATATACCATACATTTTATAATCAATATGATTTTAAAAGAAAGGCAAGCATAAAGCAGCTGTCTCTACTCACTTGCAAGTTGTTATTGGCTCTCTGTGCTCCACATCTTCTGATTTTCAGATTGCATTTTGAAAAGCAATCAAAAAAATTACAATCTTCATCTCCTGTGCAGTTCTGCTCAAGGATGTCCCTCATTTTGGGTTCAAAAAAAGCCATATCCACATCGATGGCCACCACCTGTGGATCAAAACAAGCCATTAAAACAGGCAGAACAGGCTGTGGGTAGGACTGAGCAAGCATTCTTTTGCCTCTTTCTCTGGGAAATGCTGTGCAGAGAGCATGGCAGAGAAGTGGGTTCTCAATGAAAGAGCTTTCTTTCGCTTAACTGAGCAGCAGTAGTCTTATGAATGCCACATTTTAAACAAAAGCAGCCAATACTCAAGACAGCAGGAAAGAGAAAATTATCTGTGGACAGTATGCGTCCCTGGGGTCAGCTGGATTGATTTGCCTTAAACCAGAACTATCCAACTTGAAGACTGATTTACTTGTTTTTGCAATTTATGCAGATGGCAGCTCAACCTTTTAATTATATGATGTCACAAGTCTACCCACAGGCCAGATGGTATCATTTTGCAATTTGCCTTTCCAGACTAAGCCTGTGACTTTACCATTGCAGAGAGGAGCACTATGATGCACAGAAGTACCCACAAGTGGCATGGCTTCTCCAGACCTCCCATTGCATTTGGTGGGTTTGTACCGCTTTATACCTGTTCAGCTGTAGAAACAGATACCTGCAGTTGTTTAAAGCTGGGGAAATTGGGACTGTTAGTTACAATTTTAGTCATTTATTGTGCTGCTGCTGGGATAGATTTGAAACCATTCTGGGACTGAGTGGCTGAATCTCAATTTCTGTCAGTATCACTCCACAACGGATACTTCACTTCAAAAAAAACAGAAATCAGCAAGGGAAGGAGGGAAGGCAATTAGGTGATGGCAGCTGCCTGACTGTAGACTGACTGTGGGTGAACACAGTGAAAGCAGTCTCCCTATGGTGCTATGAACGCAGCCATCAGCATAACTTCAAAGCCATGCTTAGCACTTGGAACCTTCACTCAGAGGGGGTTGTAGGGGTTGAAATAATTTTGCAGGTAGGGAAACATCTGGGACTTGGGCAAAGCAGAATTACATGGGCACAAAGGATAATCTCATTTTTAAGTTGCATCCATCTAAGTAACATGTGATACTGCACTGTGGCCGGAGCACCAGCTGGATCATCTCCAGGAACTAAAGATATCTGGCCTGGTAGAGGGCCAAGCAAACCTTGCACAGGCAAAAGAGCAAGGTCTAATCTTCATGTTATGCTTTTATTTATTTATTTATTTATTTTCCTTTTTCTTTCCCCAGGGAAAATCTTAATGTGATGAGGCATAGCTTAAAAACTCGAGTATTTTTAAGCTTTTTGGAGAGCTTGATAGTCATGATGTAGCCTAGGGAGATTCACATGTTTCAACAGGCTGGTTGTTTTTTATCTTCCTAAGCTTTTTGCACTTCTGATGTTCACTTCTTCGGAGTTTCTTGTGTCTGGCCAAGATGCATTTGGTGCAAGAACAGGGCAAAAAGGCACCAAAAGTTGTGCAGAATTTCCCCAGTCTTTTGGTCACTGTATGAACTTCCTTGTGGCTCTCTGCCAACTGTGCATCTTTGACAATCTTGTCACTTGTCATTTCTGCTAGGAAAAAGAGCCATCAGGATGACTTACCAAGGCAGTGATCTCTACCCTCCTGTACCGCAGGAACAGCACACAAAGGCTGGAATGAGGACTGGAGAGCTATCCCCAACACTTGAAAATAATTCTCAAAACTATTGCATGCCAGGCATTTCTTTGAGCATTAGCAGTCTCATTACTGAGATAAGTAATAATGGTACTATTATGGAATTTTATTATTATCCTATACGGAATACAAAAGCAAGCAAGTAAAAAATTGCTTCAAACAGACAGGAAGGACTAAAGAGAAGCTGCCTTTTTTGTGTCCCAATTCTGGCAATTGACAACACAGCCCAGAATTTCTACTTCTCACTCTCCTCTCACAGTCACTCAGCAGAAGCTCTCTCTGTTTTCCTTCTCAACTTCCTGGCTGTATGTATCTCTTGCCTCAGCCAAGTGGGGTGTAAGTAATGTGCAACCAGGAGAACCGTGTGTGAGCAACAGCTTACTTTGTTGTTTCTGTTGCTGTTGTAATTAACCCTCCTAGAAATTGCTACCTGAGAATGCTTTACTGTATCAGAAGGTGATTGCTGTCTCTTCTGACCCTAGAACTCATGGCAGAATCCTGGAGAACTGAGCCTCACCAGAAGGACTTGTAATGGAAATCGCATCAAATATTCTCTCCCTTGTTCTAATTGACATCTCATTTTCTCTTAACAGGTAGTAAAACAGATGCTCTAGCGTGTGTTCACGTGCAGCTACATCCTGGCATAACTGAAAAAGATAGGTAAAGCCTGCTTTGAAGAACTTCTGTCCTATTCCATTCTGCTTAAGCATTGGCATGCTTTTCTCAGTTTCTTGCCATAGTTACCCACCCATTCCCCGTTCAGCTGCTGTACTGCACCTGAATAAACAATGTTAGTGAAGGGAAGGTGAAGGGGAATCACTCTAATTGCTCTTAATGACTATAAGTTTAGGTTATGTTTCTCAAGTGCTCTGAAGACTTGAGTGTTTGTGAGTTCTGATAATAGCCTGCAAGTTCCTGAGAACTCTGTATATTCACTCAAAGTGCAGAAACTCCATCAATGTCACCACAAATTGCAAATCTGGTTCAAACACTACACAGGGGCTCCAATCCATACATGCAGTTCCCACAGAAATCAGCAGAATTCCCATCTGCAGAATGAATGCAAGATATTTTCAACAACATGATGGTGTGCTACATCACCACTTAGAAAAATGTACAGCTATTCACCTTTGAGTTATAGTCGTATAATGAAAAATCAAGCAGTAACAGTACTAAGGGTTTTCATGTCACCATCCTGGAATCATTTCCATATTGGATAGGCTGAAGACTAAAGCAGAAAGATGCATATGTTTCTATGCAGGGAGTTCCCCTTGTGTCAGACCAGAAGATTCAGCCTTAGTGTTCCTTTCAGCATCACTACCAGAGATAATTACCATGACTCAAGTTACAGCTTCATTAAAAGCTTCCCAGATCTCCTCGCCTTCAGGAGGCATCCATCATCACATCCAAAGGATACGACCCTGTCAGTGTCAATACGCTTGAGCAGGTGAAACAAATCAGAACTGAATAAACAGTCCTGAAAACAATCAGCAGGATCTAGTGCTCTGAAGTAGCTGCATGAATTACAAAGAGGAAAAACAGTGAAGAAGTTCCCATGTCACTTTTAAATGTTTGTTTTGCAAAAACTTGGCGGGAAAATGCGTGAGAAGGGAACTGTCATTTTTTACGCTGCCACTTTCAGATTAAAATTTAACCTCAAATATCCACAGCTCAGCCCCAAAGCCCCAGCTTACCGTAAGATCATGCCTGATAGCAAAGTTTTCTGGCTTGATGTCACACAGGTGTAGGCGATGAGAGAAATCATTATCAAAATGTTGCACCATATCCAGAAAGCTGAGTGCAATGTCAATGATGGCTCTCACTCTGCTTTTGCGGCCAGCAAGGGAGGGACCTACTATGTTTTCCAAGGGAAAAAGAGTTTTGTGCCAGGCATGTCCAGCTGTAAGATACTCCACGGCATAGAAATGTCCACAAGAGCCAATAATTCGTAGCACATGTTTGCTGAAGTCCTGCAGCAAACTGAAGAAAATATATTCTTCCTGCTGGATCAAGGACCACATGCTGGCCACCTGCGCTTTCCAATGTGGTCCCTTCCTCCTTGTCCACAGGGGCCCTGTGCTATTGTTAGACAGTTCTAGCCCCAGAACATTTTTTACCTCCAAGGCTACCATCAGCAGAATCTCTGTTTCAGGAATATCCTGTGTTTCCACCTCGTCCAGCATGCTGAGATGCTGGTAGCTGGAGAAGATTTCCTTTTTGGATTTCAGGATGATGGGCTGGCCTCTCCAATCAGCCTGGATGACCTTCTTACCTCTGTCATAGTAAAGGCAGTGTTTGTACACCAGCTTCTGCGCCACACACAGGTCTTCGCAGAGGTCGCCAGTCAGGGCTCCACTGCTGTAGTCAAGGCACTGGATTGAAAAAGAAGGAATATTCATATTCATAATCCTATGGACCACTTAGGAGAACATCAGAAAATCAGTGAAGGTTCTAAGGCTCTAAGCTCGAGCGGACCATAGTAGTCGTGAAGCACAATCCTTCTACATCTGTTGGGTGATTCATTGGTTTTCAGAAGGCTCTAGAGACTTCTTTTACTGTGGGGAGTCTTGCATTAAAACAGAGACTAGGGGAGTGGTAAAAGGGCAGGCTTTTTTTTCAGGTTACTTCTTAAGTTTTCACCACATGGGAGTTCAGTGGGACAAACTCTCAACATATTTAGGTGTTACATGAGATTCTGGGCCGTAACAATTTAAGATATAATAGATGACTTCCAATGTAACTCAGGACTCCTCTGGAAGGTTCAGCACAGTGTAATGTAGACATCTCCACTTAAGCCATACAGGGGGGTTGGCTGGGTAGCTGGCACCCTCAGCAGTCCTTTGGGTGTCACCTCTGCATTCAATGTGCCCTGAATGAAGCGTTAAGAACCTCCTTCTGCACTGCTTCAAAACAAAGAGGTTGCACTCCAAACCTCTTTTTAAATATGTACATGTTGTTGAACAAAATGGCTTGCTCAGTTTTCACATGTACTTATCACTGTCCCTGTGATATTTTTATATGAACTGCATAGCTACTTTCTTAAAAATTAGAGGAAAGCAGTCCAGTGTAACCTGGGAACTGCTGTTTGATATTTAAGTGGTCACTGCGAATCTGTATAAGAATTGCAAGGTTTCCCTCACCAATCCTTCCCTAAACTCATAATTGTTTCCATGCTGTCACTTCCCAAAGTGTAGGCCGTTCCTATATTCCTGTGGGCATTCAGAAACGCAGCTGCAGGGACTGCTTTGGGCAAAGCAGTGGAGGGAATGATCAGCGGTCTCTGGTGGATGGGGAATGGACTGTGGTGGCGAAGAAAGCCAAACAGCTGGGAGGCGGCTTGACAGTGTCAGCCTTCTTCATTGCTTTCTGGCATTTAAACTTCATTGAAACAAGCTGGCAGCTCCTGCTGCACGTAAGAATGCTCACAAGAAGGCTGCCTGACCCCCTGCCTCATTTGTATCTTGCCGTTACATAAACAGGAAACATGAGCGTAAAATTTAAGCAATGTATTCTCTCAGAGTAGCCTCTGAGGTGTTACACCAAGGGAATGCATTCTGATGCCAGGCAACATTCTATGTTAAAAATCACTGGAGAGTGGGTGCAGGATTATGTCTGAAATCCAGGAATGATGCAGGAAATGGTGCTAAATTGGCTAACACAGCTCACTGGGTACAGCTCAGACAGGCACAGAGTATACACTGCACTGTTCTCACAGCCCAAAAGAGAACATCCAGTGCCAGCAAGGGCAGCCATGTAAGTGAACTCCTTCCGTCCAGGGTGAGGTACCTCTGAGAATCTCACACATTGGCATCCATAGGATGGTCTCCCTGGCAGACTCCCTGGGCTGTCAGAGCACACAGATCAATGATGTTTGTGAAAACGTGCTTCTGTGAATGCAATACAAGTTTATTTTCCCTTTTTAAGTAGGAAATATGTTTTGTTTTGGAACTTAAACACAATTACATTTAAAATCATTGCTCTACTGTTGAGAAAACTATAACCTAATTCTTGTTTTGCCAGAATTGAGAATGGAGGACTCAATCCTGTAATTGGGTCCACATGAGTGAACCCCTGCCCTTGTGGACATTTTTATTGTGCCACGTTAACTCTTAGGGGGCCAAATGCACATACATCTCATGTCCAGTAGATCACAAGCTCAGGAGACCTGCAGTCAAATGTGAACATGCAGCTTGTTTCCTTGTGTTGCCATCATATCATACGTAACAGCAATAAGAAAAAGCAGTTTGGAAAAATAGTCTCACATTTCCCAGACATAGGAGCTGAGTCATTTTTAAACACGGCTGCAGTTCAGGACTTGTCTGCTGTTCCATTTGAACCAGTATCTGACAAACAGTCTGAATCTTCTTATACTGAAACTGTGCAATGTTTGCAAAGAGAAATTAGCCAAGGAATTCCTACTCTTATAATGATTAAGCACAGATTAGCCTTCAAGTATCATCCTCTATTGATAACCAATACAAGCAAGAACTTCAAAAAGGCTTCCTCAAATAATGAAAAGCAACTGAGCATTCTGAACAATTTTCAAGAGTGTCTACTCACAGAATGTAGCAAGTAGTTGAGTTTAAAGTCACGCAGTGACTTTAAAAATGTCCCCATTTTCTGGACATTGTAACCTCAAAGGTCAGCAAAGACTGACCTCAACTTCACTTCTCAGTACTTCAGCCCAGTTATTCCAGCTCGGTGTTTTATGCTTTGCCATATGCATAATGCTTTAAGATTAGTTCTTCAACTGCCCCCTTATAATCACTGTGTTTTCAGCCCTTGGATCATTTTTGTGTTTTAACTCCCACTCCATTTTTTCTTTCCAATCTCCCCCCATCCATCTTAGCAGCACCAACATCAAAACTGAATGCTATGGCTTAGCATTGCAAAGGTAACTGCCCTTCCCTATTTCTCACTTTAGGACATATACAGAGCTCCTATCACCCTCTTTGGCATATTCTGCACTGATAGCTCATATTGAAGCAATTAATTGATCCTCACATCCTTTTCCAAAGTTATGCAGTTACACAGGGCAATCTTCTATCCTGGTGGCATTGCTTCCCGGCATATTAGCATGTATTAAAGTCATTTTTGTGGACTGAAAACTTTTAGACAGGTAATTCAGGTTAAAGATGGCCTCTGTTATTTACCAGCTCAGGAACCTTTTCCCTAACTGCAACTTTCACCATACAAGAATTTACTTTACAATGACTGCTGACAAAAAGGAGAACTAGAATCCAAAGAAATCTAGGAATGGTCCTTGGTCCTCCACACTGACATCTCTGTCTTAATGGCTGAACTCAGAGATCTGTTGAGATAGTTTAAATCTTCCTAATGGGTGCCCTTTGAAGGCCACTATGTATCAGACTTTTAAACCCCAAATATGGAAGTGATACTAAGCAAAAAGCCATATAGAAAAGCAGCTTTACAACACAAGAATGCAAATAGAAGCTGGGCTTGGACTCTGTCATCTGTTTCTATTTAATTTGGCTGCATAATTTTTCAATACCTCAGTACATCAAGATAAGCTAAGAAAGCTGGGGTAAAAGTTTAAATCAATGTAAACCTTACCTAGAGTTTACATTAATTTATATAATTTACTGTACCACCATCACTTGGTGTATATCTATGAGGCTTGAGTTCTGTCTTCTTATCATGTACTTCTACATAAATGCAATACTCATCAAGGTTTGGGAGGCATCAAACTCCTCCAGAGAAAAAGAAAATTGATCACTGTACGATTGAGTTTGTTCATTATAAGCAAAACTGGGACTGGTTCTAGGAAAGAGGAAGCAGTCTTAGGAAGAGCTTAAGTTCACCTCTACAAAACGCACAGGTCTTCCTGGGCCATCCCAGAACAACACACATCCACATGATGGTACACTGTACTCAGAAGACGGACATCAGTCCTTAGAAATACCACTTACAAGGGCATATACTGATGCAATTTTTCACCCACTTGTTTAAAATAGCTCATATTCTGATCTCCTACTGAAAATGGTACAGATGACAGGCAATGTAGTTTCCCTTGGAAGTCAGTTTTAAGAGGTGTGATACCACAGCTACCAGATTGTTTTGCCAACCAACTGCACATCCAACAGTTGTGGGACTCACAGTGATTGGGAGGTGTATAAAGACCTCTGGGCTGATGGTGACGCTGAGCTCATTTTCTAACTATTCCACTAGAAGGACAATCCCTTTCTAATGCCATTTGGGAAGACTGGGTTGCACACCTTGAGATCACAGATGAATGCAGCATTGTCAGCCACTGTTCCTCCTCTATTGCACAGACGTCAGGGCATTTTATGAGCAATACTTGCTTGCTTGCTGCAGACTATTTCATTTCCATCTGCATTCCTCCTTTCCCTTTCCTTTCCCCTTCCCTTCTCCTTCTCTTTCCCTTCCCTTTCCGTCCTCCTTCCCTTCCTCCTTCTCTTTCCTTTCTCTTCCCTTTCTCCTTCCCTTTTTCTTCCCTTTCCCTTTCTGCTTCCCTTTAACCAACGACACTACAAATATGTTAAGAAACAACCTCAAAGCCTTAACGCATGCTGCTCCTCTTTTCCAAGTGCTTCCTCCACAAACGTAAAATCTGCTCTAATTTCTTTCTTTTTCAGGTCTCTCGATGCTAACGAATGTTCACAAATCCTTCCATGAATCCCGAGGCACCGCGTCTGCGATGTGCCAGACGTGAGGCAGACAGCTCGTGCTGCGCACCGCTCCCTAATAGCCGCTTTCTCTACGAGCACCTTCCCGACCGAAGCACTCCGGGTCGGGCTGCCCGCTCCCGAGCGGCTCCGGCAGCGCACCCACTCTCGGTGCTGCGGGAGCCTCCCGTCCGCAGAAGCCGACGGCGCAGCTCCCGTCGGGGCGCACGTACCAGCCTGGCCAGGATGCGGTGGCCGTCCTCATCCGTGCAGCGCTCGGAGAAGACGCTCCCGTGGAGGAGAAAGAGCAGGGCGGTCAGCACCACCCAGCCGGCGGCCCAGGCGAGGAGGAACGCGAGGGTGCACCGGCGCCAGCCCGCGAGCCGCAGCCTCCTCCAGCCCGGGATGCCCCTCATCTCCGCCACCGGGCCGGGCCGCTCCAACCCCGAGCGCGCCCTCTCCCCGCTCCGTGCCGGCGTCCATCGCCCGGAGCCCCCCGCCCCACCGCCGCCTCCCCGCGGCCGCCGCCCCCGCCCCGGGCCGGTGCCGTCCCCGCGGAGCCCGGAGCTCTCCTTTTGAATTGAAGCCACGTAGTTCCGCCTTCTTTTGTCTGCTCTCCCTGTGCCAAGCGGCCCCTGCCACCGCGGATGGAGCTGCTCGGCGGCTTCCCCCCCCCTCCGCCTCCTCCTTCCCCTCCAAGTTTCGCACCCGGGAATAAAAGGGGTTTTGAAAGCGGGCGGGGGCTGCTGTGGGAACTTCTCATCCCGGCGGCTGCCTGACACTCTGAAAAGGGCAGTCCGGAGATGGACGGCTCTTGGAGAGTGCTCCCGTTAAATAGGAGGGGTAAAAAAGAAAAGAATGGGAAAAAAGAAAAAAAGTTGTTTATTCTGCAGTAACTTTGGCCAGTTTTATTCTGCCAGCGATGGTTGCCCGTTTACTAACGCTACCCCTATGATGGGCTGCCCCTTGCGCTGCTCACAGAAGCTCCTGCTGCTCTGCTGCCCCATCCCGAGCCGCCGAGGAGCTCTGCACTGCTGCTGCCTCACGGCTCCATGGCAGCCGGAGGAAGTAGGAGGCAGATCGGTGCAGTCATATAATCACAGCATGGCTTCGGCTGGAAGGGACCCCAAAGCCCATCCAGCTCCATCCCCTGCCACGACCAGGGCTGCCCCCCAGCAGCTCATCTGCCCAGGGCCCCATCTAACCTGGCCTTGAGCGCCTCCAGGGACGGGGCACCACAGCTTCTCTGGGCAGCTGTGCCAGCGCCTCACCGCCCTCTGAGCAAAGAAATAAGGGTGTCTGAGTCAGGTTTGCTGTCAGATATAGTGAAGAAATGACCAGATTCATTTTCTTTCCTTTGTATGGACAGTTATGTCAGGCTACTTGCAACCCCATAGCAGGAAGATGAATTGTAGTTACACTTGGAGAGTAAATTATTTCCCCAAATGAATAAGAATAGCAATCTGCCTCATGGATTGAAAACTAGAAAATAATGCAGTAGGCGAATTTTAATGTGTGCCTTGTGTAAGTTGCCCTGGGACACGTTTTGTTAGTCTGTTAATTTAAGGTGGTAAGGTGAAGGCTGGAGCTCCTCTCCTGAGAAGACCGGCTGAGAGAGCTGGGCTTGTTCAGCCTGGGGAACAGAAGGCTGTGGGGACACCTCATGGCAGACTGCTTGTACTTAAAGGGAGATGATAAATTAGAGGAGAAACAACGTTTTACATGGTCTGCTAGCACTAGGACAAGGGGAATGGTTTTAAACTAAAAGAGGGGAGATTTTGATATTAGGTGTGAGGGGGAAATTTTTCACTCGGATGGCGGTGAGGCCTTGTCACATCTTCCGCTGTGTTTCCTCTCTCCTACCACTTCACTCCTCCATGTCTATGACCATCCTTCTCACATTTTATTTCACACTCGAATCCTACTCAGAGAATGGCACCTTTTGAGGCAACAGGGATACAGTGTATTTCCAGAGGATGTAGCAAGCAGGGAAGTCTGACTACTATCTGAAAACTAAATCCTATTTCTCAGTCTGATTCAAAACACTTTCTGAAGCTCTCCTACAAATTTCGGGGGTTCGTCTTGAAATTTTTTTGGGCAGCAAGTGGGGAAAGGCAGGAGGGTTCTTTTGATGTCCCCCCATAGAGAGGACCAGCTGGGCACAAGCTGAGCCAACCAGCACTGGCTGCTGCTGCTGCCATTAAACAGCTGCAGATTTGCTGCGACAGTGTCTGGAGCAATGCTGAGACGGAGCTGTGTCCTACCTGGAAGAGGGTCACACGTGGCAGGGGAACTTTTCTGTACAGCTTGGCACAGAGCTTTTTGTTTAATAGCATAAGCACCAAAACTATATTTGTTTTCCCATTTCATTTTTTAAAACACGGATCTTGGCTTCTCTCCGTGTCAGTATTCCCCCAGAGGACGTAATCTATTACCATTTCACATCCATAAAGTTCTATATATGTATCATTTGCATTGTTCTGAAAATAAATTCTAGTTACTTTTGGCTTTGAGCTAAGATCAAGCATGGGACTTCAGCTCTGGTCAGGTGGCATAGCTGAGTGCTCTAATTGCTGCTGACAGAGCCAAGCACGTGCCCTTCTCTTCCTTTCCCTCTGTGCTTTCCTCTTGTTCATGGCTGCATAGTCCTGTCCCCTAGCAAAAGATGTGTTTTGCTGCCCACTGAATTCACTTAACTCATTAAGAGAGAAGAAACCCACAAAGCTGTTCTTTGCTAGGATTATTTTCAGGCAGGTAGGAAAGTCGGAGTGGCTGGGGATGCAGCCAGGCACGCAGGGGGAGCTCTGCAGGGAGGAGAGCAGCAGGCTGGGCCCTGCAGAAGGGCACGAGACAGAACTGTTCTGCCAACTTGGCTGTGTCACATCTGCATGTCAAGAATGCAACGTGATGTTACAGATAAGGGGCTCTACATGGAAATAGTTGCTGAAGGGACAGTCCTTCCCCTACTTTCAGCCCAGACACATGCTTCTGCTACTTCCTTGCATCGGCTCTAGTAACTTCTTAGCAGCAGGGTGACCTGGCTCAGCTGCTTGATCTGGAAGAAAACAAACTCTGCAAAAATGAACTTTCAGCCAGCCAAAGCGATTCACCCTGTGGCCACACATCACTAGATTGCATTTACTCACAGTGTGAGGGCTGCTCCTGGTGGCAGGTGCATCAGCTTGGTTGGAACTTCAGGCAGTACCTGTAGGTTTTTGAGGCACTCTGCATTTCCTCTCCAGGCAGCAGCTAAAGTGCACTGGGTTTTGGAGCAAAGAGCCTGCAACTCTCTCTTCAAAATGGAAACAACTGCTGTACGTAACAAGTGAAATAGTTTCACCCACAGGTCTCTGCTACTTTGAAATGATGGAACTTCTCATAATAAAAAGAAGCAGACTAAGAAAGAATAGTTAAAGAGCCCTGGGTGGAAGAAACTCGATGCAGTAAATGCAAGTTACTTGGCACACTGGACTATCAACCAGCTTAATTTTATGGTAAATCCCACATGAGGCATTTGCAGCAAACGACACCCTCTCTCCACAACAGATTTTGATACAGCCTTCAGAGAGTGGAAAGGGTTTGTATCTCAGTCCCTGAAGTTTCAGATATCCTGCAGATTGCAGCAGGAGTGAACAATGAAGTAACTGTAGGTGTGTGAGTTCACATGCATGTATCTACACACAGACACATCCATATATGCATCTCTTCAGATCATAACAAGAATTGATTCAGAAAACTTGGATGCAGTCAAAGATCACAGCCTCGGTGTTTGAGGATCAGGAGCCTTTCTTTCCTAGCAATCAGGTGCCAGCTACAAAATTGAAAGCTGGCTTTTAGATTTCCATGAACTTTAAGGATCTTCTGGCTAACACGGTTAGCTCCAGTCCAGCCGCTGAAAAATATGAATCTAAGTGTCCCTCTGTTCCATTGCAATTTTCCTTAGGAAAATAAAGCAAAATGAAACAGGAAGACCCCTACATCAGGGGAATTTTGTTTTCTATATACATTCAGATACGGCTATTTGACATTTCATTCCTGAAAGGAGCTACATTCCTCTTCTCATTTAAACTGAAACCTAAGCTTGATGGAAATTAATTAGTAGAAGTTCAGTTAGCAATATAAGGGCAGTAAAAATAATCCTGGCATAATTACACCAATTTCTATCCAATTAAATTACCCCAAAAAGTTTGAATTACAGCTTGGAACAGAAATACAGCACCACGTTGGTCTCACCAGAAAATTGCACATCCCCAGTGACAGCTCGGGGCTGGAACAGCCGCAGGGTGCAGCGCCCAGCAGCAAGATGCCCTGGCATGGCTGTGTGAAGGAGCCTGGCATGGTGTCCAGCCGTGGTGCATGGCCAAGCTGGGACCATGAGGAGTCCCCATCATGGGGATTTGCTGAGCCCACATTTTTCTCGTCGACTTCAGATAGAAGCTGTGTTGCCCAGGCTACATTAGGCTGTTAGTCCTTACTTTCCTAACTACTTAATTAATTTGGAGAGATCAAAAGAAAAAATAAATCCATCATTAAGAAGTACCTTGGCACTCAAGTTAATGAAATGTAAAACTGGTTTATTAGGAATTATAGTTCTGTTTGATTGATTATATCACCTTCTGTCAATGGCTCTAGTTTGTCTCTGGAAATAGGGTACATTTTGGTTAGTCCAGGGCACACATATCTCTCCCACTTTCCTCCCACAAGATCAGAAAACTTTCAAGTGCTGTTCAAATGCACCTTAAAATAAATTTTAATGCATGAATATTTCTTTCTGATTTGCTGTGGTGAGATTGAGTAACAGAAAAACATCATAAGATCTGACATACATTTGAACATGTCCTTTAGGCAGTGAAATTCCCCTGCAGAGTACTGACTCCAGAAAAGGAATCCAAATGTATTTTCTCATTTATGCCATTAATCAAAAAGAATATGTTGCAAACCCCTTGCAGAAATTCTACTGTATCAGTATGCACTGAGTTTATTGGGTCACACTGCAGACCAGGAGCAGAAAAAGGGCAGAATATAAAGTACAGAGAATATAGCATTGTGGACAAGGGAAATATGTGGATTGATGCACTGATATAAAGAAGAGAAAGTGTTGAGACAGAAAAAGCTTTTCTATCATGCATATTATAGGGAATTTCTAATACATTTTTTTCCTGTTTTCACTTTCTCCACGTATTTCTTAGACATAGCCACCCATAAAGGCCAAATACATTTGTTTTCTTCTTCCTTCTTACTGCTTAGACTCTGCACTGCAATTTTTAATTGTCTTGCTCTTCTCATATATCCGCTTCCACTTAATCTCTTTGTTAACTTCATACCAACTTTTCTCCAGTTTCATTGAGAAAGCCAGTGAGATATTTTGGCAGCGACTGCAACAGGCTGTGGCAGTTCTTCAGAACAGATGAGACAACAAAGGTGCAAAAATATTCTGGAATATT